GCAAGGCGAACTGCAATCCTACAAAGGCGCTCTAACCTAGAGCGCACCCCCTCCTGGCAAGGGGAAACCGTTGCACACACTCGAGCCTCGGAGGGAGCGAAGCTAGGGTGCCCCAACGTGAGCCAGTTGAGCGCAACAACTGCATGCTGGGACAGAGTGCGAGCGGCGCGCCGAATCCGCCAACGCTCGCGCGCACGCCCAGTCAAGGTGACAGGGGGCGGCGGCAAGGAAGGGGCAGGCGGGCACGGCCACGGATCGCGGGGAGCGTACTCCTGAGAAACGTCCCGTTCCGAAGCGTAGAACGATGAGCGGGTAAAAGCAGACAGCGCACAACGAGAACCCATCCCAGCCTGAGGCAAAGCAGCTGCCCAGTGGGTTATGTCGATGTGAGCGCCTGGGAACAGGCGCAGCAAGGAAGCAAGGTCCAGCACGAATGGCGCAGGACCAGGAAAAGGATCGGCACGGGTCGTGCCGGGAAATGTGGCAGCGACCCCGAAGGACAAGTCAACTCGAGGGGCCTCTGGCACAGCAGGCTCGGCAAGGACCCCTGAGGACAAGTCAACTCGAGAGGGCTTACCACTTGGGCCAAAATGGCCTGGCGAGGAAGCGGGAGCTTCGGGGACGGAGCAGGAGCCCCCGCGACGGCGCTCGGGGGTCCCTGCAAGGTCGTAGCGGCCCTGCTGGACCCCCCAGTTCCTACCGCGATTAGCCTGCTCCGCCCAGAAACCGCGAGCGGCATCAGCGGGCGTCTTACCAAGCCGATGCCTACTCGCCCCGCGACCCTGGTGTCCTGCCGCTTCAGTGACGGCGGGGACTTCTTGGGCGGCACCTGTGGTGGCCCCTTTTGGGGATGTGGTGGCTGCTTCGGGCTTCTCGGCGGGGGCGGCGCGGCGAGCTTTCCGAGGAGCTCCCGACGGAGCTGTGGCGCCGCCGACCCCGGGGCCGATAGGCGCGGGAGCGCCCGCATGCGGAGCCGGGCCATCGGCGGCACGAGCAACGCCCCGCGGCGCCAAGACAGCCTCGGTGCGCGCCCCCGTGGCAACGACCGCGCCACTACTGTTCCTCGCAAGTGAGCCTCCCAGTCGGCCTCTCCGTCCGCCGCGGCGGCAGCGGGGCCCGCGAAGACGCCGAGACTTGCCGGGCGAAAGGTAGCCTGGGCGAACCCCGAGCCTGACGGGGCAGGCGGCGCTGGGAGCCCGCCGAAGTCGGCGCCTCGCTGAGACAGACGCAGATTGAACTTGCTCGTCCTTCACGCGCGCCTCGCAGTCGGCGCGAGTCAGGGGAGGCGAGACGATAGGCAGGCCAGCTGCGGCGGCCGCTGCTGATGGCATTGGGTCAGCCCCGGGCTCGGATGGCACCTGACAGTCCCCGAAACCGGAGATAGGATCTTCAGCAGCTGGCGCGCCGACGCCACCCCCGAGGCTAGTAACTTCAGACAGAGGCGGCGGGGCGCCTATTCCAGCAGGATGCGCCTGATGAGGGCACTCCGCGAGGAAGCTCTGGCGGTCACCCGCGGAGGCGGCGGCAGCCGCGTCTGCAACGCATGGGGCGGCGGAGGGCACGGGCGCCAGAGCGAAAGCGCCCGGAGCGGTGGCCTCACTTCCCACGTCACCGAAGGCAGAGTGCAGTGGCACAACGCCCGCTGCGGGCGCGGGGAGAGCCGCGCCAGGGGACGCACGCTGCCGAAGCGTATCACACGCAGGCGGGCCGCTCCCGGGAACGCCACAGTACAGCACGGGAGGGTCCCTGGGAGGCAGGGGCGGCGTCCGCAGGGGTGGACCCGAAACAACCGACCACCCCCCCACGTCGTCACGAGGAAGCAGCGCGCGAACCGTCAGAGCGCTCGAACGCAGGGGAGGCGTCAGAAACGACTGAGAGCAAGCCTCCACACTGCGGGCGGCAGCGAAGGCGGCGGCCGCGGTCTCCACATCCGCCCCAGAGACGGGCGGAGGCGGCGAACACGCGACGGGCCTGCTGACGCCTGACGGCTGCGGGGGCGCGCCAGCGTCCAGACCCAGGAGGCCAGGAGGCCAGGAGGCCGACCCACGCGCTCGATCAGGGAGGCCGAATGTGGAGCGGCAGCAGTGCCCGACGCCACCGTTGCGCGTGCGCCGCTGCCAAGACGCTGATGCGAAGTCGGAGGCGCGGTCCGCAAGAACGGGAACGCTGAGACCCCCGACGCAAAAGTCCAGCGCGGGGTGCATTCATCACTGAGACCGCTTTCGGGCGCACTGGCG